TTCATTTTTAAAAATTTTATGTATTTAAAGAATTCATAAGGCTGCCTCCACAATTTTAAAGTTAGAATATTTTGGACATGGGATGCGACACATGGAAAAATACAGCATCCTTCACATAATCCTCCAAGAAAAGATTGAAGGCAAATGAGGTCCAGGCAGAAGAAGAACCTCATGGCTTCAAAACCTAAGGGACTGGCTTCGACAACACTCAGCGGCACTTTTTCATGTGGCTCTTGACAAAAATAGGATTGCCAACCTGGTTGTCAACATCCAATGACGGATATGGCACAAGAAGAAGAAGAAGAATTCACAATTTGGGATTTTCTGCCACATACATCCATAAACATGACAAAAAACGGTATATGACCAATATAGGTGGTAATACAGGTGGTCCTCAATTTACCGCCATTTAGTTTAGCAACTGGTCCTCATACTTATGACTCTGGCATCATCCCCACACTCGCGTGATCATAATTTGGGCGCTTGCCAGCCGGCAGGTGTCTACAACACTCGCTGCGTCCCGGGGTCACGTGATGGCCATTTTCAACCTTTCCGAGTCCCTGAATTTTGATCATGTGTTCGTGAGGATGCTGAGAAGGTCATAAGTAGGAGGACTTGTTGTAAATCAGTTTATCAGTGCCGTTGTACCTTCAGATGGTCGCTAAATGAAAGGTTATAAGTCTAGGAATACTTGATCGTTTTGCAGCCTGTGAACCAGTCTCCCACTCTTGATCACCAAGATCACTAAGAAGCATCCTATTCAAAGAGGTCCAAAGGAGATTGTGATACTGATATACAATCGTTTTTTTTCTTCCAATTGTCTTTGTGCTTGAAATCACTGGAGTTTCCATCCTCAAAGAAATGGATTCTACCTGTTGTCAGTAACAAGTGCTGCAAACACCAGTCAGCCAATGGAGCAGACATCCAGGGCCTAATGAGAATTACAGAGTAACACAGATGAAAGGGACCTTGGAGGTCTTCTAGTCCAACCCCCTGCTTAAGCAGGAAGCCATATACCATTTCAGACAAATGGCTGTCCAATCTTGTCTTTAAAAAACAGTGTTGGAAGACCCACCACTTCTGGAACTCAAGCCATTCCACTGATTAATTGTTCTAACTATCAAGATATTTCTCCTTAGTTCTAGGTTGCTTTTCTCCTTGGTTAGTTTTCATCCATTGCTTCTTGTTCTGCCTTCTGGTTTTTTGGAAACTAGGTTGACTCCCCCTTCTTTGGGGCAGTCCCTCAAATATTGGAAGACTGCTATCATGACACCCCTAGTCTTTCTCTTCATTAGATAGACATATCTAAGTCTAAGGCAGGAGTGTCAAGGTTGATTTCATTGAGGGATGCATCAGGGTTGTGTTTGACCTTAGGGGCCTGGGCGTGGCCAGCTTGACTCATCAATTTTTGACTGCGACAGCCTCCTGTAGCCTCTGCCAACAAAAATAGAACTCAGGGAGGCCATTGTGGCCAAAAATGGAGCCCAGGTGGTCTGTGTGCGGACTCCAAGAGCTCCATTTTTGTTAGAGGGTTGCAGGAGGCCGTCGTGGCTGAAAATGGAGCCTGGGTGGGCTGTGCATGGACCTCCCGAGCTCCGTTTTCGCTGGCAGAAGTACTGTGGGCTGGTTCTTTTCTGTTTCTAGGGCAGCCCCGCAGGCCAGATCTTAGAACCTCGCAGGGCGGATCCCGCCCCTGGGCCTTGCGTTTGACACCCCTGGTCTAAGGCAACACAATTTACCTGTCTTGAAGTCAACGCCTAAACAGCCCTCCTTCCTGAATCCAGTATAAAAATGCTCTAGTGGCATCTATTGATTTTTAGAGAACTCTTTAACTAATTTCCCTTGAAGTTTGTGTATCCACGGATACAATCGTTTTATTTGTTTTGCTTCACTGCCAAATAAAACTGTGGCAGAAGCTATTCAAAAACAGTAACCCAAACAAACTTATCAGAGGAACTCTGAGCATTTTTCTGGGTTGAGGCAGGTAAGCGCTCCCAATTATTTTCTCAGTGCAGTGTGTGGGTTTACAAGAGACTCTGGGTGAAGACTTCCATAGTCCAATAAAACTGTCAAGAGGATCTCCTTGGATCCTTGGTTCAGCAAGGAAAACAGCTGGCAGGGCTTTCAAACTCAAGGCCTGGGGACCAGATCCGGCCCGTGTGGTACTTAGATCTGGCCCACGGGGCTGCCCTAGAAACAGCAAACCACTGACTCACGGTGCTTCTGCCAGCAAAAACGGGCACCTGAGCTCTGTTTTATGCCCCCATGGCCTCCTGCATCCCTCCGTTTTCACTGGCAGAGGGTTGCAGGAGGCCGTGGCAGCCAAAAACGGAACTCAGGAGCCTGTTTTCACTTCCAGAACGCTCGGGCCGCCACAGGAGCCCGTGAAAGGAGTGATGTTGAGCTGGCCATGCCCCCCCCCCCCGCCCCGAGGTCAAACACAACCTTGATGCGGCCCTCAATGAAATCAAGTTTGACACCCCCTGACAGAGCGTGTTCTTTTTATTAGGAACGGCAGCTAACGTTGCACAACGGGAAACATGTTTTATCATTTGCTTGAAGCCTCTTTAAAAACATTAAAGGAAGTATCTTGAGGCGTGGCTGGCATGTCAAAAGCCATTTCAGAATCAAAAGTGTTTGCATGCTGAGTCACAAGATGGTTTGCAGGGTACTGAAGAGGGACACAAGGGGGAGGAGACCCATGGGGCGGTTCTCCTCCAGCGGGGACGGCCACAGAATGAAGCCAGGGATTTGTTCCTGTTTATCTGATGCAGCCAACAGGCAGAAATGTTCTTCTCTGTTGCCTGCAATGAGGCATCTTTCCTTCAGTGTTGATCTAAAATCCACCAGCTGGTGTCAAAAACAAGAGAACTTCAGGAAGGGTTTGTGGGTAGCACCTATCTCCTACCCTACATGGAGATCTGCAGCTCCAGATCTCCCCCCAAAACCATCACCTTTCAATCCACTGTGACCAGGTTTGAAATCCTCTTACCTTTTGGAACCAGGAGCTTGTGTGCAGCACTTCTGCACATGTGCATAAACTTCTGTGCATGCGCAGAGCAGTGGTGGATTCCTACCAGTTCGGACCAGTTTGGCTAAACCAGTGGTGGCCTGGTCACTGGAACTGGCAGCAACCCGGGCCTGCCACACCTCCAAACTGGTTTTCTGGATGCCGCCATCTTGTTTTTGGCTTTTATGCATGCACAGAACAATTTTTATTATACTGTGCATGCACGCATAGCACGCATCAAGCGCACACGAAGCGCCCATGAGCAAACCGGCAGTAGTGACTGCCAGAACCCACCCCTGGCGCGGAGCATCTGTGATGACGTCTGGGCAGGTGGGCAGAATCTCCCCCGGCTACCAGTTCACCCAAATTGGGGCAAACCGGCAGAATACCATCTCTGACTACAACCCTGGGATTATTGACTAGAGAAAGAGCCAGTACTGAAGAGAGATTTTTTGCAGACAACTTTGCCAAATTGCCCTACGATGAGAACACTCTGTTATTTTTTAATTTAGGGAACCTCAGATAAGTGAGATTAATAACCTTAGTCATGGCAGAGTACAAAGCTACTAGCTATCGAGCACAAAATGTGTGTAAATATCCTAAGTGGGTCATCAAGATCAAGCGCTAGAAGAGAGGCCACTGAGATTTTTCCAGGGAAGCTGGAAACCACTCTGGATCACATAGCCTTGATCTCAAGTCCTTTACCTAATAGCTTTGGGGCTGCTCGGTTGAGGAGCCCGGCAAGGACAGAGGGCCTGAGCCAATGACCTCTGGCTCCAGGCAGCTGGTGAAGTTCATGAGGACATTTAAAAAACACTAAAGCAGGCAGCCCTTTTGTGCCTCCAAATTTCCAAGACCTGTGAGCAGTCTTGATGGAAGTTCTTCTCTTGACTTGGACTTCAGTGCCATCGTGTTTAATCAACGGGGCTGGGGATTATGGGAGTTGGAAGAAATGTCCATCTGGATTCAGTTCCAAGTGGGGAGAAAGACACTGGAAACATGGAGGCTGCTTGGAAAGATGGTTTTAATGGTGGACAGGACCACATAGCTTGAAGATGTTGGGTGAAGAAAAAAAAAGGGGAAGAGATGCTGAGATTCCCTGAGTTTTATGCCCTCTCTGGGCTTTTGAATTTGAGCTTGTGTTCTGATTGGTTGTCAGACTCCCATGGGGCCATGCAAGAGCAATTCTCTATGCTGTCCTGAGTCCCAGGCTTGGTTGATTCTTGCTGGGTGATGATCAGAGGTGGTATTCTGCCAGTTCGCTCCAGTTGGGGCAAACCGATAGTGGCGGTAGTGCGAGGCTCCCCACCACCCAAGACGTCATCAAGGACTTCTGCGGGCACGCTCCCGCTACCAAACCGGTAGTGAAGAAAAGAGGATACCATTACTGAGGATGTAATGAAAGGACTTTGGGATTCCTATTATGGCTCTGCCTGAAGGAGGTAGATCTTTGTTATGTAGAATAGACTGGCTCAGGCCTTAATGGCCCATTGACAAAGGTGGGGTCAACTGAGTCCCTGCCTCCCTTTTAGGGGAAATATTCTGCCCTTTTAATATTTCCTAAAATATTTTATTTTTCTAGGAGAGGGCTGGGCGCTAACTTCCCGCAGGAGTTTAAACAGAAGACTTCTGGAGACCATTGGATGGAGAGAAAGTTACCATCACAGCAAGGCTGATTTTGCTTGACAAGTCAACAACTGAAGAGCAAGTCAAAGAACACCCATCCAATTCACTAGAAAAGACAGTTTGGTCTACTAATTAAGGCACCAGGCTAGAGACCTGGAGTTTGTGAGTTCTAGTCCTGCCTTAGGCATGAAAGCCGACTAGGTGACTTTAGGCCAGTTAGTCTCTCAGCCCAGTTCATTTCTCAGAATGTTGTTGTTGTGGGGAAATAGGAGGAGGGAGGAGTATTGTGTATGTTCGCGGCCTTGAGTTACTTGCAAAGTAATAAAGGCAGGATAATCTAAAAAATAAATGCAAAAATACTCACAATTTGAGTATCGATTGCTGTTCAACTTTGCATCATTTGCAAGGAAAACGGATTCTTTTCTTGTTCAGGGCAAGTCCTAACTTTCCACTTGGATGAAACTAAATACAAAGGACCGACCACTAAAGGAGACAGCTTCTTTCTCTGTGAGCAGTAGACATATTTTTGCATGAATAAGATTTCCTAGTTCCAAACTCGTCCTTGTTCAAAGGACGAGTTAAACTGCAGAGTAGGAGAAATCGTCCCTGGCCCTTTCTGGGAACTTTAATGTTTTGTTACTTCCTTGATTATTATTATTATTATTAAAAAAACAACGGAAATGCTACATTGTCGGTCTCCTTGTAGTGCATTTGGCTGTTTGCTTTTGCGTATTGAATGAGTTGAGTCTTGTTTTTTTTTTCTTTTTCTTTCCACATTTGGCATCCTGGAAAACCGAAAGAATGTAGAGGAGGATCAGACGGGAGAAATCAGTGTCTTTTAAGATCTTAATCTAGCCGCTTAAGAAAGACTAGGCGGTGTTTTTTGTTTATGTAAACACACATGTCATGCAACGTTGTGTGTGTCGACATTTAGAGGGAGCTACAAAGGACACTCAGCATTGTGGTCACATTGCGGCAACAATTTCGGAGAAGCCCCTGAATCAGCCAGAGTGTCATTTTTTGAAATCAGACAAGGAAACACTTTTATCTCCAGAACAGAAAGTTTTTTTTCCCCCTGAACACTGTTATGTTGCCTATATTTTGCCTGTTTTCATACACAATCCCCAGAATTCTGTAGAGTTAACAAATGTGTCCCAATTTCTTTTGGCAAATATCAAAGAACTTGTGTTTTGCATTTTTCTTACGTTGTTTTTTTAAAAAACGAGCCTTGGTTCTTTAAATGTTGCTTTACTACAACGCACATTATCCCAAACTAGTTCATTGTGAGTCAGGTTTAGCCTAGTGAGAGTTCGAAGACCACAACTTGAAAAGGGTTGTGATTGAAACTGCAGGGCCTAGCTAGCAGCTCAGATAGACTGCTCTTGTTCATGAGGTGCTGCAACGCCTTCTTTGCTACTACCACACTCTCGTTTTCTCCCCTCACATTCTTAATTCACCTGAAAGTTGGAGCAAAATAACTTGGGAGGAAGATGCTGAAATGCAACCCCCGTACGTACTCCTTAAGCCCCGAGTAGATTCTTCAGATGTTCTCTGTTCTCATCCTAAAGGTTCACCTCACACATATGTGCTAGTCGTTCCCGACTCTAGGGGGCGATGCTCATCTCCGTTTCAAAGCCGAAGAACCAGTGCTGTGCGAAGACGTATCCGTGGTCATGTGGCTGCTATGATTAAATTCAGAAGGTGCATGGAACGCTGTTATCTTCCCACCAAAGATGGTCCCTATTTTTCTACTTGCATTTTTACATGCTTTCGAACTGTTAGGTTGGCAGAAGCTGGGACAAGAAACAGGAGCTCACTCTGAGACGCGGAGCTAGGGATTCGAACCGCCAACCTTTCTGATTGACAAGCTCAGCGTCTTAGCCACTGAGCCACCTCATCCCATGCATCCTCTATAGATGAGGACAAATACCAGTGCTTAGATCTTTCATTTCCTTTCCCTTTCTCCTTTCCTTTCCTCCTCTTCCTTCTCTCTCCGTTTTCCTTTCTCTTTTTCCTTTTCTCCTCCTTTCTCTCTCTCTCTGTCTCTGTCTCTCTCTCGTTTTCCCTTTCCCTTTCTCCTTTCCTCCTCCTCTCTCCCCCCTCTCTTTTTCACTTTCCCTTCCTCCTTTCCTTTCCTTTTCCTCCTCCTCTCTCTCTCTTCCTCTCTCTCATTTTCCCTCTTCCTTCCCCTCTCCTCTCCTCCTGGGATATGGACTTGCAAGTATGCATAGGAGCCTCCCTCAGTGCAACATTTGGCTCCAGAATCCCCTCCTCTACCCACTGATGAAGGTGGTGTGGGGTTGTAAAGGATAAATGAAGCAGAAGGGTTAGAATATCTGGCTTATAAAATGCTTTTTTAATAGAAATAAGTGGAGGCATCAAAGGCCACTAACATGTACAAAATGTAGGAGACACAAGAAAACCAAAATCAACAGACACATATAATCCAAATTTCCTTTCTACAAAAAAAAATAAAATCTGCAGTGTGACTGAAAATCATTTTTCAGCATCCAGGACAATCGATAGAAAGATTTCAGCCCAAATGAAACCCATCCGTAAATATCATCCCATCCAAAGCGTTGGGAGCTAGGAAGCTTTGTAATTCTGAGAGGGGGGGGGAGGTTGGACAAGAGGTGATTTCTAGCCTAGGAAAAACTAAATTGACCGCAAAAGCTTCTCCCTCCTCCCACTTTTCTGATTTTTCCCCAAAACCTGAAAGGAGATTGAAACTCATGCTTTTTCATGAGGGGGTCACCAGATCTTTGGATTCAGGGTAGAGAAGGCAGCACAAAGCCCCTTATTGTTGATGTCCAACGTGCCAAGCTAAACTTCAACTGGCTTGATGTATCTCCAACAGAGCTGGCTCATTTTTTGGAAGACAGATAAAGCTAAAATATGGAGGAGGGGATGGAATCTCATAGGTGAAACAGGTATTTGACAGACAGGTATGACCCAGATATTTGATTCTTCCTTTTAAAATTCATAAAATTGGGTTTTTTACCTTATCTTAAACTTACTTTTGGTCATAGTTTATGGGATGGGGGAGATAACCCCCCCACCCCTAATTCTGACAATCTGCACTCTCAATTTTGGACACAGAGCAGATTGTGAAAGCAGGAAACAAAGGTGTGGCCACTTGTGGTCTAAATATCAAATCATACTAGCCTTTTGCAATGATAAAACCAGGGGTGAAATCCAGCAGGTTCTGATAGGTTTTGGAGAACAGGTAGCAGAAATTTGGAGTAGTTCGGAGAACTGGTAGCAAAAATTTTGAGCAACCAGAAAATGCCACCTCTGGCTGGCCCCAAAGTGGGGTGAGAATGGAGATTTTGCATTATCCTTCCACTGCCACACCCAACAAGCCAAACCAGGTCCACTAAGCCATGCCCACAGAACCGCTAGTAAAAAAAAAAAAAGAATTTCATCACTGGGTCAAACCACATCAAAGTGCTCTGCTTAGAAAACCCAGGATGAGTCTGGATGTTGCAAAAATTGTCCGCACTGTGTCCCAGCCTGCGCATGTCGCTCGGCTAGCATTCCCACAGGTGTTGGGCTTCGGCGACAATCATTCCCACGAGTTTGGAGAATGCTAATGTAACCTAATCAGTGTTTGGACCTCGAACAACCAAAAAAACAGGATAAAAGTGAGTTGGGACAAAGCTAAATCCCACTGCATTCAGGGAAAGCTGGTCATGCGCTTCCATGCTTGTTTACACAGAAGTAGGCTCCAGGGAATTTAGCCCGGCTGAGCCCCTATCAGTAGATGCAGGACTGCAGCTGAAATAAACAGCCCATCCAGAGCCAGCCCGTTATGAAGAGTCCCCAAGTTATTTCTCAACTGACTAGGGTCTGTTTAGGGATTTTAATTTCGACGCTCCTGGGAGAAATCAGAACGTGTGTTAGGTAAGTGGAAGATGCAACCTCCTTCCTCTTAAGCTGTGAACATAGAGACACTCATGTTAAGCTTATTTACTTACTTGCCAGTAAGCACGTATTGGAATTTGGAATAGGCCAAAAGATGAGGAAGAACGTATCTTCAGAAAGACCCTGTGTTCTTTGGCATATGATCCATAACAGCCACAAACACAGACTGGGTTTTAGAAGAGGGTTGAAGATATGTTCATAGAAGAAAGGCCTAATAGAATGATGCCTTCACAGAGTGCATTTTGGTTGGGAATCATAGAGTTGGATCTCAAAGATTGGGAATCATAGAGTTGAATCTCAAAGATTGGGAATCATAGAGTTGAATCTCAAAGATTGGGAATCATAGA